ACTACAGTTAATTGTTAAGAAAGTAGGGTAATTTCTACCAGATTAATTACAAAACAAACACACCAGTTCTGCCTTGAGACACACAGCTACAGAAAGCCGGTTGTACCACCGGGAACAATGTGCTTTCTAAACACAGCAAAGGTCAACATGGAAAATTCTGGTTATACAAAACACTTAAGTGTTAATTTCTAAAGACAGCTGAAAATATCTTTGTCTTAACATTTTTTTCTTAGTTATCTGCTTGCTGCTTAGCTACTTTCAGAAATACCCTTCATGCTTTTTCAATAGTGTGATGTAACACAGCTGACAGATGAAAAGCAAGCACAATGCCTTGTTCCTATCTATTATTAAAGTGGTGGTTCTTTCACTTATTTTTTTCTTCCCTGTACAAGTATTGCATTTCAAACGCTTTCTTAATTACAGACATTACATATATACCACATAGAAACAGAAATTAAAAACGAAAGCAAATATTTATATACTTTAAAATGTCTGCTTCCATTTACTAGAGCAGTAACTGCACGAATGGTGTTTTTAATGAAACAGATTACAGTGTCTCAGCATGTATTTCCAAAATACTGAAGATTAAGTATTTTATTTACTTTTCCCCCAAGTATATGTCCACAAAATCCTTGTTATACAAGATTTTTAGACAACACAAACACTACTATTAGCTTTGCTTTTCATAAAGCAATCACATCCTAGATGCCTCTTTCAGCACACAAAATCAAGAGACTACACCAAAACAATGTTTTTCATAATACAGAACCAAGCATTCAAAAATAAGAGAAACCAGATTAGTTGTAATGTTCTATCTGAAAACTTCCTTTGTGCATCCATCCTATTCACTGAGTAAGGTAGCTGATATAAAGGTCAATGATAGGTAGCAACAGGGTAAAAAACAAAACAAACAAACAAACAAAAAACACAAGAAATGTGCAGAGCTAGTACAAGTTAACTCATGCAGACAAGAAACAAGGTTTAGATTGTCAAGTCAACCATAAAAGCCAGAATTCCGTAACTCAGAAATTTTGGGCCTGCTATCTAAAGACAATACTTTTTGTACTTAATTAAGGAAAAAAAAAAAAAAAAAAAGACTAATTTATTTAACTAGGCAAAATTCAACCATCACACATCATCGGTGAACTATGCACCTGCACTTTGGCACTGCAAAAACAATTTGCCACTGTTTCCAGACAAATTAGCTGGTGACAGCAGGAGGTCGGCATTCTGACTTTATTGCCAAAGCACCCAGGTACTGCCTGTCCCTGTCACACAGAGCTTTGGCTGGAGGCAACATCCTTCTCCGCTGCCTCCTCCCACAAAGTGTGTAGCTGCTCTGACACTTCCCAGAAGCATGAGACTAGATTAAGCTCATTTCTGTGCCTTGAAAAAAAAACAAACAAACAAAAAAAAAAGCTGATGAATTCAAGAGAAGCAACAATTTTCAACACTTTATATTTCAACAAAAAATGAGTGGAATTTCTTACTGAAGAGAGAACACACTTCTGTAAACAGAAAGGTCTGATGCAAATCATGTATATACATATCACAGAATCACAGAATTTCTAGGTTGGAAGAGACCTCAAGATCATCGAGTCCAACCTCTAACCTAACACTAACAGTCCCCACTAAACCATATCCCTAAGCTCTACATCTAAACGTCTTTTGAAGACTTCCAGGGATGGTGACTCCACCACCTCCCTGGGCAGCCCGTTCCAGTGCCTCACATCCCTTTCAGTAAAGAAATTCTTCCTAACATCTAACCTAAAACTCCCCTGGCATAACTTTAGCCCATTGCCCCTCGTCCTGTCACCAGGCACATGGGAGAACAGGCCAACCCCCACCTCGCTACAGCCTCCTTTAATGTACTTATACAGAGCAATAAGGTCACCCCCAAGCCTCCTCTTCTCTAGGCTGAACAAGCCCAGCTCCTTCAGCCGCTCCTCATAGGACTTGCTCTCCAGGCCCCTCACCAGCTTCGTCGCCCTTCTATGGACCCGCATTCAATGGGGAATATGAGATTCCCCATTAGTCTCATGTACTATTCCAAGTGCTAAGCAACTTACTAAGGAGCCTGCACTGACAGCACTGAAAACTGAAGACACCTCCAGGCTCTAATGTGACATCCCACACCTTTGAAAGTGGATACTTAGGTATGGACTTCCTAAAAAAAAAAAATGAGGTAAGAGAGGATAGATGCCCAGAAATAAAAAGAAGGGAGGGGAAACAAGCATTCATCTCCTATTAAAACCATTTAAAATCTTCTGACCCTACACTCAGTAGCTCCCAGATGACAAGCCTGTGGGGCCATATAATAGACAGATTATAAATGACTAAGGAATTACAACCTGTGTAATTTGAAGTAGATACAGAAATTAATGAGTTACAAAAAGTTGTCAAAAATTATGAAGTACATTGTTTTACACCAGTATTTTTAACATACCTTGAATATTAAGACAGATGTCTTATAGTACAGAATTATTATAATTGGTGTCAGTGTAATGTCCAGTCTTCTACATACACTCACCAACAATATACACCCCTTCTACCTTCAGCTAAACATGTATGACAAGAATGGTTTCCCTGAGCAGGTGTGCTCAATGGCTACATCCACCAAATATTTTCCCGCTCACTATATTCTTCACATTTGTGTACTACTGCAGCTATCGTGTAGATATTAATGATGAAGAAATTACACCAAGCCAAACACCACCACGAGCGTGCACCTCTGATACAGAATACAGTATCAGGAAATTGTATTTTGTCAATTAATACAAATATCTATGCTTGCATCCAGTAACATGAAGCTGAGCATACATGGAATACAACTGACCCTCTGCAGTTCTGGAAAGAAGTTTAGAAATGAATACCCTTTACAAGTCTGTTCCTTGCATGCAACAACACATAAAAAGAACTAACACAATTCTGATGATACTATCCTTTTAGTGTTGGTGTCTGACAAGTTACCTGTGGCAAGCATTACCAGTGCTACAACTGAGAACATGCAGTCTCGTTCTCAACTCTCACATAGCCCATTGCCTTTTGTAGTTTATTCAGAGAAGGAGAAAAAAAAAATCAATCGGGATTGTCTTAATTCAGTCAAAAGGAAATTCTTTTATATGAGCTCCCCCTCCCATGGACAAAAGCACCATTTCAAATAACAAGATTTGTTGCTAACTGTCAACTTAAGCCTTTCTTCAGTGTATCACCAAACAAAACCAAGCGAATCACAGAACTGAACAGTGTAACTATCTGATGTTTGCAAACACCACACAGGAGCTAAAGGCTGTTTGTCAAAGTCAATATATAGCTAGCTACATACATTAGCAAATCTTATTGCAGGAAGGGACTGCAATCTCAAAACATTACTTATTTAGATTAATTTAAGCAGTTTTAAGTGTTCACTACCTGAGACTTTGGATCCAGCTTTCAAAAAGCATGGTTTATTTATATTATCCTAAGAACCTTGTACATGATTAAGCTGCACATGGGAATTGGTGCCTTTTTGGAGAAACTTTCTAAAGTGCTATTATTAACTTCAATAAGAATTTAATTCAAGGGTTAAGCAAACATACTGATGTTGTAAAAGCTGGTATCAAAACAAATACTCAATAAAGGCAAACTTGGTTTTAGTCCCAATAGTCCAATTTTGCATTTTTTTAGCACAGTGAGTTATTTATCAAATGTTCAGCAAAACCAAAGTTGTATCTTTCTAACCCAGAGCTTTTCTTCATTACTCATATCCCCAAAACATGTATTTCCACTGCTGAAATGCATTAGAAGTGAAAGAAATCTGAAATGAGACAATACAGCTCTTTTAAACTACGATGTAGCTAATCTAATTGGTTCCAAAACCTTTAACCCCTGAAACAAAGATAAACAACATTTCCATTTTGCTCCATTCTGTTATTACATATGAAAACACCACTTGAACCACCCCCACTTTCTCAAGCAGGCAACACTCCTCTAGCCTCACCAGATCTAGAGCCATCTGCAAGCCCCCTGTTCATCACTGTTAAAATACAAAAACATGGCACGTTAAATGTAAAGGGCAACTTCAGCTCTGGTGTTTATATTTGCAGTAGTAATAAAAGCTTCTGCAAGAACTGCAACAGGTACACTAGTAGAAGAATCAGCTTAAACAGATCTTCTTACAAAAAATGAATTTGTAAGTGAAGACACGGTTAGGATTAAAACTCATTTGCACATTCATTAATTATTTTTTGTTCAAACAGAAAGATTACACTGAAGTTATAGAATAGATTTTATAGCAGAATTGTATGGGAGAGCACATTCATTTTTGGTTACATGACTAAGAATGCAACTAATTTACAATCAACTTTTCTAAAATAAAAAAAAGTACATAGGTTAGCAAATTCCTCAAATTCTTCATAAATGCTACTGTATTTGCAAAAGGAAAATGCAGATACAGGAGAAAAATGAAAAATTACTATGCACTGCAAGAAGAGTATTTCTTTGAGGGCTTGTTGTACCCTCATAGATCTTAAGGTACAAATTTATGCTTAAGTTATGTGAGATGAAACAAGATTCAAATCCTATATATGCCAATTTAATTTTTATTTTGGAGGTCTTAAGGTTAGGAAAATAAGTTCAGATTCCTAAATTATAAATACATTTAACCTTGAGCTTGGCTTTTTAAAATGAATGTCAACTACACAAGCTATTTTGAATTCAGTGGATAATTTTCAAAAGTACAGCAGACAACTGCACACACAACATCAATTGGTCTGACAAAAAAAAAGTTTCTGAATTCAAGAAGTCAGACCACTTACTAATTTATCTAAAGAAGTTACTGCATTTTTAATGCAATTTCACTGAAGTACAAGGTACATCATTCACATTAATCCTCTGAATACAGCCTTTAAGGAAGACATAGAAGAAACACACAAAGGCTTTAAGTCAGTATCTAAAAGCATTGGCTTAAGATTAAACAGGTAAATACATAAAGGTTTCTCTCACTTGGATGGTTTGCTTACCTCTGGGGAGGGATATAAGGAGCAGATACTGTTGGCATAACTGTACAGGGTTCAACCACTGTTTTCTTGGCCTTTTTTGTCTTTTTTCTGACTTTTGATGTAGACCTAGCAGTTCTGACTGATCCCTCCTTCCTACAAACACCGTTTTTGATTTCAGCTTCTCCATAAATATTTAGAGGTCTCCGTATGCAACCTGGTGGAGTATGTACATCACAATAGGCAGTCTTTTTTACAGAGAACGTTGTCCCACTGCCAGTTAGTTCTTTCACAGGTTCCATTTTCATATATAGACCGGCTTTTTGAGCACACGTCACATGGAATGCAGTATAGCAGTTTGCTTTGTGGCACTGGATGCAGGCACCAACACCTTTCTGTTTACAGAGGTAGCATGTTAACTTCCATCTGGCCGGGGGAATGTTCCTGACACCATCAATTGGCTCAATAAAAACTGTATTGGCAAATCCAACTTCTGGAATCCACAAAGCACACACAACATGTCCCCAGCGATCATCATCAGTCTTTTTAAAGGCACCTCCCTTGTTTGGGCACAGCACACAGTCTACAGGCCGAGAACGGGACTGCAGACAGTGTCTGCAGAGCCACTGACCCTCAGGTATATATGGCACCCCATAGCATTCCTGATGTACTGCTAAATTACACATATCACAAAACAGGATTACATTGCTGTTCTGACATTCACCATCCATGCATATACAACACACTGCATCTTCATCAATTAAAGACTGATGATCACCCTGTTTTTGGTTCTCACAATAAGACTCCTTTTCAAACCTATCCATAAGGAATTCAAACATGTTTTGTGAAACAACTGACACTCCATCGCTTTTCCGCTTTTCATTTATTATTTCTAACCATGCATAATCTTCCTCATCCATGTCATACTCAACTTCATTATCAAGTTCTTCTGCTGACTTCTCAATGAATTTGTAATAAACCGGAGGTCTCCGAGGAGCTGAAGGGGGACTGTATTCAACAATCCGTACTTTTGGTTCTGGAAGAGGAGTTGTTGTAGCAGGTATACCGTGTGAGCTCGGAAGAACTTCATTTTTCTTTTTTACTTTGTTATTTTTATGCCGTTTGCTTCTTAGACAAACTGGTGGTCTTTCACTATTTTCCTTATTGCTGTTGCATTCACTCATTTCCTGGGCCGTAAGATCATCTTCTAATATAATCTCTAAAGGATCAAAGATACTGATCCTATGCAGGCGACCTTCAATTTCTATTTCAACCATTCTTTGAGCTTGAGCGTACGTCAAGGTTTCTCGTGTAGGGGAGTGCTTAATACTGCATGGGGAAGAAGAATGCCTTGCTGCCGATACTCGATGGCATCTTCCTTTTCTCCTCATTTGGTAATGTTTACCTAGAATGAAAGCAACAGTTAAAACTACGAACTCTGAAAAATGACTTGAAAGTGTTAGTTTTATTATACTAAAAGAAATAACTTAAGTCCTATGGCTCCCAAACCACCTATCCAATTAGAAGAAAAAAAACAAGCAACAACAGAAAAATGCTTCTCACCCTTAGTTTATAAGACTGCTCAGGCTTGAACAAAGTAACTTGATGATGAAATGATCTCCTAAATGCTAGCTTCTCTAAGTAAACACAGCTATATAAAATCCATAATAAAAATGCTGCAGAAGAGCTAACGGGAACAACTCTGCATAAGAAAAAAAGAATCAGAAATGCAACAGAAAAATAGAGCTGTTACATTGGAATTACTGTATTAAAGATTTTCTTACAACTGCTGAGTAACTGGAATTGCAATTAAAAATGCAGTTTCATTTTTTTTTTCCCTGAGCTTCAGATTTTTCATCTTTTTTTTCCGTCTGAAATTTTTTTTATCTGAAAGTACTTACATAATCCTGAAAGTTTTTCCCACAACTGTATCCAATGCAGTTTGAAATACATTAACAGCTCTGTTAGTACACCTATGCTTACAGCTAGAAAAACATGCATAACTCCAAATTTGACAAGCATGCAGCTTGACAGCTTTTTTTTTTTTTAAATTCTTCATGAATCTATTATTCTTTACCTTACTACACTTACCACAGAAACGGTTCTACAAGCATTGTATCTGAGAATCACATCATTGCCATGGCCACAGAGTTACCAGCATCAATGCACATTTTACTGTTTTACATAACTCCCATACTAGTAGGTTGAATCCCAGTCAGCGCCAAAACTTTTGAATACAAAGAGATGCTCGAAATGACAAGAACACAATTAAACTTGCAGTGACTGATACAGTGAAGTATGGGCTACAGTTATGAAATATTCCGCTTGTAATTTGACTTAGGCTCTGGGTACACACTGGGTGCATCTGTGCGTGCACGCATCCCTCAAACCCTTGTCCCTCAATCCATTCTTCAAGAGTTCTCCTCAGCAACTGGAGTAGGCAAGTATCTCCCTGTCTTTAAATTCAAGCCCAAGCTCTTTATAAAATATAAATGACATCATTTCCAAGTTTATCAGCTGCTGGAACAAGATCAGCACCCATTACATACAACATACCAAAGAAATAGACCTTTTTTTTTCCCTAGAATGAAGCACCGTGACTAGAACAGGAATGCATTTTGACTACAGAAATTCTCATTAACAGCTTCCATGCTTATAGTCTATATGACACGTTTCCCCCCCCCCCCCCCCCCCCCCAATAAAAAAAAGAGGCTGAACACTATTACAGAACCAACCAATAACCCCAAGCTTAAAAGTTCTTTTACTCCCCTTCCTAATAAATCATTAATAAAGCAAACTTCAACCTCAGGTACAGAAAAAAAAAAAAACAACTCTTGATCTTTAATCACCTGCTTAAAATATTATTAGGGCCTCCTATTTTAATTCTGATCAGACAGAAATACTGCAACACTGACAAATTCACGTCAGTGTCACCTATTAGTTAAAATAACTCAGCTAGCATCAGCATGTATTGCCAAAAGAGCAGACAATTACAGAGATCAGAGCACAGTTATTGTAACAAAGCACTGTAGCTATTTTATGAAGAAAATAGCAAAGACTAGAACAATTAATACACAAAACATCCTGTGCAGCCTGCCTTTTGCTTTTGTTGTCTGACACCAATTTCAAGAAATCCACCTTCAAAGTCCCGAAGGAACTCATTTTAAGGGAAGACTAGACAATTTAGGCAACAAGTGTTAAAAGCAACTCTTGAGAGGGTCTTATCTGCTATCACAAATTGACCTTGTTTCCCAAAGAGAAATTAAAAAGATGAATCTAAGCTACCCTTATTATTCATGTGAAGATTAAGCGTATTACTCACAGATCTGACTTTTACACAGATATTCCTTAATTCTTATTACTTGTTTTTATAGCACAAGCTCAAAACCAGACAAGTCAGTGTTTAATCATCACACACCTCTGATCTGCTCTTTATAAATAACGGAAGAATAAAAAAGGTTCCACCTCTTCAAACAAGTTTGGAGAAATATTTAATAATCTAATTCTGTTAAATGACATTGGATTAAATTAGACCTATTTCTTAACTCCAGAAGTTTATACCACTAATGCTGTTATAGAAGGCCCACTAACTAGAAACAGGCATACGGATAATTTAACTGCAATTAGAAGTTAGTTCCCACAGTTTCACAATAGATTTTGTGATTCAGAGGCCAAAGATATCACAATGACCCTGATTTGTTTATTAACGTGAACAAACATGAGAGATTTTTATAGCTAGTACATGATGTGTCAGTGTACAGCAACCTACTACAGATCAGTATGGTTTCATTTTACGGTATTTTTTGATACTTGTCTTGAATTTAGTCACCAATAAAAACAAACAAACAATAACCCTGATCATTTAGTTACGTTCATCTCACACAGTTGCGCAATTTTGTCTAGATGTAAAGGTCTGTTTTCTCTTTAAATCTCTCTTCCTACAATTATGAACAGATACATAACCAGCCAAGATATTCATGAAGACAGCCAGTGTTCTGAACAAATTACTGGGGGAGACATGGGAGGTAGCCTTCAGAATCAAGAATTGTGCTACTTGTCCACATTTAATTATCTAACCTAACCCAGTATTACAGTACTATAATAATAATTTCCAATCTCTCTACACCTATCTTCCTGAAATTCTTAGGCACTGCTGCAAGCAGACAAGAGGAAGAAACTATTTTGAAGCACGTGCATTCTCACCAAGGACTACTGCCAGAAACGTCAAACTGTATGAATCAATGCTAAACCGTGGCTGAGCTAACATCTAAGAACCTTCCTTGTAGTACTCAACTGTACATAAAGCTCAATCATGAAACAAATTATGATTTGCTGGTACAATGGATACCCTACACATATAACACAGTGAACACAGATCTGGAATTGGTACTAATCTGGCATAATTTCACAAAAACTTAAGTGTGAATAACCTCAGCACTCCAGGAGCCAAAGCAGCAGTAGCTTTGTTCTGTTGCCCTCACAAGTCTTCTATTTGCAAGTGTCCCATAAATATTCCAGAGGAAGACTGGATTTCTACATAACAAATTCATGACCGGCTTTTAGTTTGCTTTTCCTGGTTAATTATCAGACAGCTCTCTTCCCTCTCCCTCTGCAGTGTCCCGCAGGCCCCCAGGAATGAAGGCTACGCATGTAACTTTGAAAAGCAGTGAACTATGCCACCAGTTCCCAGTTGATATTGAAAAAGCAACATCACGCTTGTAGCGGAGTAATTTCAATATACTTCTGCCACAACTTTTCTGCCTCTTTCAACAAGTCGAAGAGTGTAGGAGGTCAGACAGGAAAGTTTGCAGCTCTTCCCTCTCGGAATTACCTCAGCTGCTTGGGAAGAGGCGCCAGCAGCCAGCTTGCCTCGCCACAGCACAAGCGCACGAAGACAGCTGTCTGTGAGGGCGGCAGGAGGCACGGGATCACCAGCAGGAGAGGCACCACGACGCACCCCTTGCTCACAAACTCCTCTTACAGCCTCAGGTCCCGGTTACCTCCGCCCTAACCGCCCAGCTCCCTGGACCGGACCTCGCCGTTCCCAAGGGGCCATCGGACACAGCGCGCCCCGGGGCGCCGCTCAGCCCCACACCATGAGGCAGGGCAGGCGAGCGCCGCTGGGGGGGGGAGGGGGGCACCACCCACGGCCTCGGAGCGGGAGCGTTTCCCCTCGGGGGAGACTGAGGAGGACAGGGGCGGGCAGAGGAGGCTGAGGAGGGCGGGGGGAGGCGGCTCGGCCTCGCCGAGGCCGCTGCGGTGACCGCCGGGGCTGCCGCAACGCGACGCCCCCATCCCCCTCAGCCCCCCCAAGGCCTCCCGGCCCCCGGCGCCATCTCGCCCCCCAACCCCTCAGGCCCCGCCCCCTCCCTCAGGCCCCGCCCCCGGCGGCTCCTGCGCGGCCACTTCCTGCCCACGCCCAGGGAGCCTCCAGCGCGCACGCCCCCCTCCGCGCCCGATGGTTCCTGCCCGGCCCCGGCATTCCCCCCCCCCCCCCCCTCCGCCTCCTCCTCCCTTCCCGCCTCCCCCCCTCCGCCCCCGGGAGGATGGTTCCTGCCCGGGCCCATCACCTCCCGGCCCTTCCCAACAGCCGCCTCCCTCCCGCCCTCCCTCCCCTCCGCGAAAATACTCGGCCCACCAAGATGGCGGCTGACAAAACAGCCCGAGCGGCGCCCTCCCCCAGACCGCCGCGCTCCGCTTCCCCCCCGCGCAGCCTTCCCCGACCGCCGCCACCGCCGGGCCCGGCCCGGCCCTTCCCTTCCTCCCTTCCCACCTCACCCACCCTCCCTCCCGGCCGGTGGTCGGCGGGCCCCGCCGCCCTCCGCCGCCCTGCTCCGGCTTCACTCACGCTGTGGGAGCCGCCGAGGCGCGGCTGACAGACCTCCCGCTCCGCCTCTGCCGCCCTAATGGCGGAGCTCCCGCCGCTGCTGCTGCTGCTGCTGCTGCCGCTGCCGCCCGCTCCCGCGGCGGCGGGCGCTGAGAGGGCGGCGCTGGCCGCGGCGGCGGCCCGGCGCTGGCTGCGGGGCTGCTGCTGCTGCTGCTGCTGCGGCCGGTCCGGGCGCATTCGTGAGGCGCGGCGCGGGTCGCGCTCCGGCTGCGGGCTTCGGCGCTCGGCTCCCGGGGCTGAGCGGCTCCCCTCCCCCCTCGGCACAAACAATGCGGCTTCACCACAGCGCTGCGCCGACGGGGGGGAGGGAAGGAGGGAGAGAGGGAGGGAAGGAGGGAGAGGGAAGGGACGGGAGGGCGCCAGGCACCGCCCAGACCCGCCGCTGCTGCCGCCGCCGCCGCCGCCGGGCGGAGCCTGCGCGCCGCTGCCCGCCCGCCCGCCCCTCGATGGCGGAGGCAGCGCCGGGCCGCGCCTCAGGGGACAGGGCGGGAAAGCTCCGGCCCGGCAGGGAGAGGGGGCACGGAAATGCCTCAGCGCGGGGGGATTTAAACCCGGGCGAACGGGGTGTGTGTGTGTGTTGGGCGGGACGGGGGAGGGCTGCTGCACTGCAAAACCGAGGCTGGGAGCTGCGCGGAACTGCGATTTATTATTTCTGCGGGCAAAGTCCAAGCTCGAGCTTAGCGACTTCGCTCAGAAGTTCGCTTTTACGTCGTCTCCGGGTCGCGCTTCTGCTTTTGAGTAACTGGGATCGGCCTCTACGTTTTGAGTGGGCAAAAACCGGGTTGTTTCTAGCTCCCCGCGCAAAGGACAGCCTTTGTGGAGTATTATTTTTAGACAGCCATGTTCGAGATCTGGAGGATTTTACTGTGTGTTTCCGTGGGACAGCTGCACCCACATGCTTCAAAAACTTCTGAGCTAGCCCTGTCTGAGAGAAACACTTGTCTTTGCCTATCACACAGAAAGAGTCCTGCGTGCAGTGAAAAACAGCAAAGAGTAGGTGTGGCGCTCTTTGCCCATCTGCAACCCTCTTCTTTCTTCAAAACAACTTCATAACTCTTTTATAACTTTTTTTTTTTTTTAATATATATATTCACTAGAATCCTTTGCCTCAACCAGCAGTTACTTCAACAACAGATTTATGGCTAGGAAATCAGGTATAGATACACCTGTCATTACTTGCAAAAAGTGAAGTAAGGTCCTAACAGCTCAAGTAACTTAGCTAAAGAAATCTTGTTCAACAAGCAATATAAGTACTTTCCATCTCGTTTCCTTCCCCCCCCAAGGACCATCCAAGCAGGCTGCTCTCTAGCAAAGCAGAGGGTATTAAAACAGCTAACACTTGCGCACTGCACTCCCTGTAAAAGCAGATCTGTAGGATCACATTGGCACAGTAACTTCAACTTCTGACTTCAAAAAAAAAAAAAAGCATGTTAACTATACAGGTCATCTGTGTACTGCTTATAAGGAATTACTCTCTGGTTAGATGGTCATACCATCAGTCTCAGAAGCCTTACAACACGTTGATTTAAATTAATATAGAATTCAGCTTGTGACGGATACTAAAGAGGAAGCAGCGTACTAAATCATATATGTTAGTGTACAGTCAAGCAGTAAAAATGACTAGAAATTACAAATATTGTCAACAAACTAATAATATAATAAAATCCCATTTATGATAAAAACCATGTTGTTTCATCTTTTAACTGATAATCCACATATGTATCTGTCCTGCAGCTGTACAAGCACTTTATAACTGGAGACAAGTTTTCCACAGAGCTTGATGGTGTTCATACTTCCCTGTGTCTGATGCGCAAGTAAGTCTGGCACTTTTCCTTTTTTTTTTTTTTCCTGCCAGGTGGACTGCAGCACATGCCTTCAATAATGCAGCATTCCATACATGTATTTGCACCATTTAACTATCTTTTTGCAGTTTGATCTCATGCTTCATTCTCTGGTAAGCTCTACTTACATGACTTTGTTGAGATTCATCTTCCAGCTCTGCCTGCCCTGTGCACAAGGCACATTTGGTAAAAACACCCCATCCGTAAAGTGTAATGTCTTAAACTTCATGCTGATAAAAAAAATAAAAAAATAAAAAGGAAGTGGTAGTTCAAAAGTCATTTCATTATAAAGACAGTGGCAGCATCATTGATTCCCACGACCTGTTGACCAAGGACTCATAGCACAGCCTGAATCAATCATGACAATGTGTTACAGTGCCAGGATCTGATCTCCCAACTGATTTGAAATGAGAGGCTTCTGATCTATTTTAGCGTAACACAGAAAGGCCTCTGTGCTCCTCAGATTCTCTGCAGAGTTTCAAAGAACTGCTAAGCTTCATTTCCTAGTGCCCATACTAAAGACAGTAAATCAACTTCAAATTACTAACTTAGAGGCAGGGTTCATCAGGGCTCTGGATCCTTGCAATTAACCTCAGGAAGAAGGTATGATTTTTTTTACTATGGACTGCCCAGGCTCTGGCACAGAATGCATGCAATTCCTTGATACAGTGTTTCACAGCAATGGCACAAAGATCAGAGCAGGCCTGACACACAGTCCAGTAATAGGAGCCTTACACTTTCAAACCTCTTCTCATTGACCTTATGAAAGGCTGCTAGATCAGGATCTTCAATCCTCAATGTTAAAAATCTGTAATGTTAGCTTGCATTATTTCAAAATGCAAAAATGTATGGTATTGCCTGGTATATTTGACCAGTCCTGAGCACATGCTTCTATAATCTCAAAGATTTGTTTCCTTGCCTGCTCCATCTCACAAGTGAGACCTAGCACCTCAAAATAGTTTTCTTTCCATTTTTGGAAGAGGCGGAAACAATTTTAATGGGATGCCGTTCAGTTTCAAGCAAAAAGATAACTGGCCCTCTGCATGATAGTTTGATGGCAACAGGACCCTCATCACCTTTTTTGGCACTAACTCAATGGGGGGGGGAGGGGGGGGTTGCTCCCGCTCCATCACAATCTTCACACTCCTGCTTAGCAGCATCAGGTTTTGATTCAAGTTGCCACTGCTGACTCACTCTCCAAGAAAGATTTTCACAGATGGAATATCTTCTGCTTACCAGCTTTCACCTGCAGTAGTTATCAAATTCTTAAGGCAAACATTTCAAGAGGAAAGAATCATGTAAACAAACTCAAATGCTATCCATCTGCTCATTTTCCCTTTCATAATCAACCTTTGAGACATTACTACATTGCTCAAGTATATCACCTGCACAGCAAAACTTTTGTTCCAGATTAATAGAGATCAATTTGGACTTGCTGCAGCCTTTAATTTTTGGCAGTGGTACTGATCTTCTTTGGACAGAACTCTGTATCCCTTTCCTTCTTTGAACAGACAGCTGCTAAAGGGACAAGCAAGAGCCAGATCCCATGCCACATGTTCTTTAGAAGTCATAAGAACCTTTCTGTTTCCAGATAGATTTTGGACTGCATGCATGGGTCTTCACACCAGCATGGCGACAACTCTGCCTAACTTCGCTAAGACATTGAACACCACTACATGATTCCACAAACCAAACTGTCCCCATAAAATTTCCTAAGTCTCACTTCCCCACTATATGGTTTGCTTCTTTACACTCAATACATAATTATATTCCCCCAAAATATGTCTGATAACATATGTTACTGTGGTTTCTCACATCCTGTAAGGGGGATGCTTTTCCATTTCACTTACCTCATCAGTTGTGGTGCTGGCAAATTACTCAGGGGGGCTGACTGTGCAAGGCCAGCTGTTCTTAAAAAAAGGTTGTTCCCAAATATTGCGGAAGTCCAGACAGCATACACTGTGATTAAGATGCTGCAACTCTATCACAAGACATGTTACAGCAACATGCTGACAAAAACACAACTGTTTATTCTCAGTCTGTGTGGTGGTGTAATGTCCCTGCACCTCTTTTGGCGGATCTCCATGAACTGCTATATTTAAATACAAATCCACGTATCACTGATCCATCAATACTTAGACAGAAAGACAACATCTTCATATGAGACTGAAGAGGAGATATGGTCCAAAGTCCTAGATGGCAATTCCAGAACCTTTTAGCTTCAAATACAGAAGAAAAGCATTGAGTCTTTTCACTACAAGATTACTGCACATCTTCTTTGTTCTCTAGTTAGTAAGAATCATGCATTTCCTTTTTAATTTCATTCAGTCCTGAAGATTTTGACCACACTGTGACAAAGGCTTAGGTAAGATGAAATAATATAGGTGTTCACCCCTGTTCACTAACTGCTACGGAATCAAAGTATTTTGGTTCTTTTGGCCTCACTAACTCTTACTTTCTGTATGCTCCATCTTTATCATCCTCAGAAGGAAAGAGGTTCTCTATAAAATTGATAAGGAGAGTTCATGGTGATCTAAAAGAACAGCCTTCTCTGAAACATGTTTTAAAACAGACTGCAGTCTCTGTCAGTGCCTCCTATGATACTGATAAAGACAGAGTCCTTTTATCATCAGAGCTCCACTAGAATTCAAGCTACATCACTGCGCTTGCTAAGAAATACCTCTGTGACTTACATGTGCTGAGCAGTCCTGTGGAATGTTATCTATAGATAATACTTACAGACCATTTGACAGAGTGGTCATTAGGCTGTACAGCTGCTATGCAAAGGTCCTTACCCCATTTCCATTTAAGCATTTGTATGAACTACTGCTTGGAGTCACCTATTTCAAGAAAAGTTATGTAGCCTTTGTAGTTAAACAGCTCTTTGAGAGGCAGAATTGACAACGAAACCTACTTCCTGCCTCCCTTACCCTTCCACTGTTCCAAATCCTTTAACATCACATACCTTTGGGATTTTGCAGTTATAAGGCTCTCTTTGCGGATTGTGCATATAACCTTTGCATAATGGAAGGTGGGGCTTGCAATTACCCCCGCAGGCACTGCAAATATTAAAAAACAAACAAACATGCAAACAAAAAAATATACTGTATTAGAATATATGTTAAAGCATATCTGTGTTACACTTCACAAAAGAATCATCCCAAATTAACTTCTATTTTTTCAAAACGCTGCACCAAAAGCACAGAGATTACCCATCTACTCACCTGTAGGTCTTTTAAACAGCAAAACGGAACTATGCTTAATGAAAACGAAAAGGATAATACAATGAATGCATCCTTGGTGATTCAAGATATATAACCACAGAACTTATGTCAACCACATTGCTGAAATTTCAGGATTGTTGTGAGGTAAGAAGATTCAAAAGCTCAGAAGCAGGTCAGAAATAAAGCTATATGATTTAGTATTTCTTCTTAAGCTGATTAAAAAACAAAACAAAAAAAAAAACACAATTTGAGCAGTTATTTGGACTCATACCTAATGATATTGTTGTTTACAGAAGAGCAGACAGAGCCTTAAACAAGGAAGTATTATTCCCCTTCTCTCCCGTCATTGCCTCTTTGGCATTAATTATTCAATTCCTAGTGCTTACAGATTGGCACCTTTAATATGTTCTGTATGGTAACTCCACCTGCAGAAGCCTTTATGGGAAGCTATCCCTGCCAAATGGTAATTGCCATTATAATAACCCTTCACTGTTTAGCCTGTTGATTTTCTGTTTAGTCCCCTGAACTGCCTCACTGCACAATCAGACAAACATGATTGCCAGAGTAAGGAAGGCAGCAGAAAAGTAAACCCAGGGTCTGAGTGCCCCTTTAGTGTTCCTAATTATTAGGCATCATTAGCTTAAGCTGACAAAAGAAGCTGCATGTTTAGAATGGGAATGTCTGTGTCAATTCACATAGAATAAGTAACTGAGCCAAGTTATGGGCAAAGAGAAAATGTCAGCGGTAATGGGTGGGAATCAAAGAGCAAAACAATAATTGCTATGTGAAAAGTTCTAAATATATCGTACTTACAGAGCAAAGAACTACAGCCACTGTGGCTAAACAATTTACATTGTATTTTGACTTCTTTTTTTCCCCAAGATGTCCTGAGGAACTCAGCAGATGAAGACTATTTATAGAAGGTTAATGAAACAAATTAAATTATTTGAACTGAAAATTTGTGTCAAAAAGCAGCCACAAAGGGGGGGGGGGGGAGGAGGAAGAGAGAGGGGGATTGCTCTCCACAAAAGTACTTGTCACACAATGGATTTTTCAAATCAAACATCATTTTCAGTAGTTTATAACTTCTTCCTGTAGTTGTTCTCCTCATCAGGTTTGGGTTTCAGAAGATTTTTCTTTCAACTTGAATTCAGGCAACTGCTTAAGCTGGCATGTAAACAGTATTACTAGAAACACATTTTTATTTTCTCTGATAAACTTTATGGAAGGGATCAGGAAAAGGTTAATAACTTACGCACTTTATGTATTAAATCACTTAGGAGACTTCCAAGGAATTTCCAATTTCTTGCTGTCAGTATCAGAACTTGTAACTCTTAATATCTAATAAAACACAAATTTTGAGTTTTTTTTCCTAGTTAGATCACTCTCAAAGGTGCATCTCTGAGAAAGAATCCAGTGTTTACACCGAGTTAATACTTCAGCTCTGGTATAATTAAATTAAAATTCAATCAGCGATGAAACAAATCCAGCCTTAATTACTTTACTACCTCTTCCTCATTCATTCTCAAGGACAGACCTGGTCTGCAGATGATTAAGATGGTATGTAGCAGAGGAAGCCTTGCTGTTGGAATCCCCAGTCATTTACTGCAGAAGTAATCCCAGAATAGATGGGCTCATTTAGAATTAAAACCTTGTCTCCTCATTTACATGAGGAAAGACAACAAAGCAAGGTGACATCACCTTGTGGAAGTGAAAAAATAAATCAGGAGCAAGATTCTGAATGCATGATATCCACCAAAAAATTAACAAACAGGAAAACCAGATATAGCTCATAGCTTCAGAAGGAGTCCAGAGAAAGACGTCCCCTGATCACAGAAACCCTACTTGTATGTATCAGATAACAAGCAAGCAGTAATGAGCCCTGTGTAGGTTTTCTTTGCCTTATCTCAGACCTGGCAACCTTGACCAGTGCCTGGTGATGGATGATAGAGATCTTCCAAAATCACATATATATAAATCAGTTCTAATATATAATATAGCCTCATAAAGCAAAATGAATCTTAAAAAAAAAAGTAGGGTCTTCAATGTGATCACTCCACATAGGACTCCAGATATTCCAGCATCATCCTCATTCCATATGAATTCATATTTCATATTCTCATTCATATTCCATATGAATAAATCCTCTGAACTTCCTGTCATATGCACAACTCCACACCAAAATTACCAACATACACTCCTAATGTGCTATAAATCCAGGACAAAAAAAACCAGAGATAAGACAGTTGTTTGTGACAAATGAGGTAATTAATATAAAAGCACTGGCAGCAAACGCTGTTTAAACTTGCTCAGAACCACTGCATAATTGTTCATTCTTTCTTTTCTGAGCATCCAGCTTGACACCTTGGATATGATGAGCAGAGCCAAGTGCCTGCTGAAGTTAATGGGGTATGTATGCTAAATATATAAATACTCTCCTATGTTAAGTGTTCTTAGAAACCATACCCTTGTGATACTAAATTGGACGTCCAAATTTAGTACTTCTGACCTTTATTTTAAGGTTTTGATTTTAAGTTGGCACTGTCTACACAGGGTCCTGGAAGAGGCTGGAGTCTATACAAAAAAAATAAATTGTTTTATTAAATAAGTTATCTCAGTGCATACAAGAGGCACCGAATCTTTATGCTTGATTTAAGAAGTACTATTTAAGGCAGTTTTTGTCTTAATGATTTCATATGGAAAATGCACTACCAATACACGAGGCATTTGAGGTGAAGCTAAAGGTCTGAGTGATAAGTTTGTTTCTGTTACTGAGTATGAAGAGGTTTGCTGTTAAATTCTGCTAAAACCAAGTAATAGCAGCAAAATGGTTATTGCTCCCACCACTGGTATTACCAGTATACCATTATAACATTAACTATCTCCAGTAGCATACACATTCAGGAAGACAGAACTACATTAACTTATCATTGCACCATCACTGTTACCATTACTACCAAGAAAAAAATACAAACAGATAAGAAAAATAAATTCAAATTAAGATGAGAAGATTAGTGGCTGGAGAGACTCTGAGACCACAGAACACAAAGCTCTATCTGCAGCAACTGCACCTCTGCAATCTTCTCATAGCTTGTAACAGCATATTGACAGAGAAACAGATACATTTAAGGAATATATATGTTCTGTCTGTCATGGTAGGAATGGACACCAGGTTTTCACCCAGTTGCCTGCTGATTTTAGGCTTTTATTATAGCCTGCCCTTGTATTGAGAATGACAGAGAGCTATTGACTTACGGTTAGTGCAGTGATATTTCCTTCTTCTCCGAGCCCAAAACACCTGTTCTCCAGAGAATCTGAACAGTTTCTTTGGGACCATGATCTCTTAGCCTTCTGATACTCCACAAAACACAACAGGGAGCTAGGTACTTTGCAGTTTACTCCAGGGACTGAGAAATGAATTTTTGACATTCATTTAGTATCAGATCACTTTTAATTCATGACAGGTTAAATTAAAAGTACAAATAAAAGTGTTCATTCACTATACCTGAAACAGACAACAAGTTCATAAAAATATATAAACGGGGGGTGGGGGGGAAGATACTCTTTGAGGTTAAATAAGAAAATTTTTGGTTACTTACTGTCAAGATGCCTTGTGTAAGCTTTCCTAATATCCATTTTCCAAAGGCTTATGTTCTTTCACATACTTACACCTCAGATTGCATGCTTTATGCAGAATCTATATCTTTAGACTATCACTACACCCAAAACTGTGACATCCACCACAAGCTGGCAGTCTGGAGCCTTCCCCAGGTACTAGTTACTTTCTTTCCTCTGCAGTCACCTTATCAGATCACCCCCATCTCTTTGTTTTATTCTTCATATTAACTGATTGCTTGAGATAAGTCTTTTTGAGCTGTTGTGTTCAGATTTTTGAGACTGACTTTCTTACATTTCTGGTGTGTTTTTGTAGAACAGAAGGAAGTTACAGCTATATCACACTCTATGTGTGATATACATCTATACACAGACTGGTTTTCATGTAACTGAGATAATTTAATCAAAGTAGATAATTTCTTTAACCATTGCTGAAATTTCCATACTAGAACATGTGAAAAAAAAAAAAAAAAAAAAAAAAAAAAAAAAAAAGACATTCAGAAAAATGTGTGGAGAATCAGGAATGTGCAGTGGGAGAGTACAAAATGAATTTTCTTTTTTTTTTTTAAAAAAAAAAAAACTTGCTGTACAGTTTTCAACTATAAATTGAAAACTCTTGAAAGTCATAGCTATTATAAAAAAAAAGTTGGCACATATTCTTATGTTGTCATGCCTTTCATTGTGCGGTGAGAGTAACTATATAATTCCAAGTAACATTCAACACATTGTTACAATTTCATAGTTCTCTAAGACATGCTTTTTGAGACGATACATTTCTGTTTGTTATTATTGCATGTTAAATAATCACCATGATCGCTTGATTGCTAGTCAAGAGACTGGTGACAGTGCCTTAGCTAAGCTCCCACATTTGTTACAGAGTCCAAGAGACCTGGCCAAGACCAAACTTTGTTTTTAGGCAGCTGTATCCATATAAATGCATTTTTGTAACAGTGGAAACTGGGCAAGCCAGAGTAACACTGTCTCAAATTACTCTGGCCTCCAAGTTAGTTGGCCTCAATTTTCTATAGTAGCAGCTCAACTGCAAAAACATAAGTTAAATAGTTACACTGTGGAACCAAGAAGGACTGTCAGCACACACTCTAATACCTACTTTATTTCAAGTCTGAGCAGTATATGAACTTTGCAAGAGATTTCCCAAGGAAGCACTAACTATAACAGACCATTTACTTTATGCTGACCAGCAACATCCACTTGGAAGGCTGAGCAAACAGTACAGAAGTACAACCATGACAAACAGTGTAGAAAAATGATCAAGAGCTCCACTATTTCATATTGGAGAAGGATCAGCTGTTCCCCTTCCCCCCCCCCCCACCCCCATATGCACACATATGCACCAAGACATTATGGCCTCAATTTGTTCATTAAAATAAATAAATAAATAAAATCAGTTAACTGATGAAGACGACTCACATCAAGAAACAGGTACTTGCTTAAATATGATGGTTGAAGAAAATGAACTTCTCTCTCTAAACACTGACTCAATTTAAAACATAGCACTGCTTTAAAAAACAGAACAACAAAAAAAGGATTTTACCATCAGTACTGCGACTGCTTTTCTCCTGCCGAAGGCAAGATGCGAGTTACCGTCACTGATGACACTGAAGTCAAAGTAATGGATGCCTGTGACCGCCACCAGGAATCTGGCAACAAACGTCAAAGCCTCACCAGACCATGTTTCCACTCGGCTCTCCATACATTAGAAGCCATCACCTACCCCACTTCATCCCCTTCCCCGAACGCAAAGCGTGGGTCAGGTCCGCCTGGGGACCCTGACCGATCCTTCCCAAGCACGGAAGGCAGCGAGCCAGCAACAGCCGGACACCAGAACCGGAGAGCGCTGGGATCCCAAGCCAGCAGGAACCGGCACCACGGCCACCACCGATCCTGAACGCCTCCCCTCGCGGCGCCCACACGGGAGCTCAGATCCAGGCGGAGGCGGGAGACGCAGCAGCAGCCCCGTCCCCGCCGCCGCCACCGGCGCGGGGGCGGCCATTTTGCGGCGCGGTGACATGTTGTGCGTTGTGCGTCGTGCGTGCCGCCGCCGCCGCCTCTGCTGCTGCCCGCCCGCCGAGCGGCTGCTGCTGCTGCTGCTGGTGCGGTGCCGCCCCTCGGAGCCCGGCGCCTGCGCAGCGCGCCCTGTGGCGGCCGAGCCGGGGCAGGCTGCTGAGCGCCGCGGCGGCGGCGGCGGTCGGCGGCGGCTGGAGACAAAGCGCCCGGCTAATGAATGGGACGGGCCCGCCCGGCCCTTCCTTTTAACCCCTTCGGGTCCGGCCGGGCGGCGGCGGCAGCGGCGACCTCCGGCTTCCCCTGCGGCGGCCGCCCGGGGAGGTGAGTGGCCCCGTTCCGGCACCGGGAGGGGGCCGGGCTGGGCCGGCCGGGGCGGGCCGGTTCTCCCCGCCCCGCTCCGCTCCGCACCGCTCCGCTCCCCGCCGCCCGGTGCCGGTGCCTGCGCGCCGCAGCCCCTCGCCCCGGGCCCGGCGGCGGCGGTGGTGCCGGTGCCCCCCCCTCCCCCGTCCCGTTCCGGCCGGGACAGCGCCGTCAGGCCGGGCAGGGGGCGTGTGGCGGCGGCGGGGCGGCGCAGGAAGCCGGGGACTAGGCCCGCGGTGCGGGCTCCATTGTCTGCGAGGCCCTGGGAGGGGGCTCCGCCGGGCGGGGGCTGCGCCGGGGGGCGCCGCTCCCCGGGGGCTCGGCGGCTGGGGGGGGGGGGGGGGGGGCTGGGGGCGGCCGGCTTTGTGTGCGGGCCGGGCCGGGCCGGTGGGGCTCGGTGCCCGCTCGCACCGGGCCGGGGCCCCGCCATGTGGCCACCGTCCCCATCTCGGAGGGCCCGGGGCGTGCGGGCTGCAGGAGGGCTCCTCCGCCAGGGCTTCGCCCGCGGGGCTGCGGGGCCGAAAGGGCCGGGCAGCCCCAGGAGATGTCCCCCCCCCCACACACCCCACCCCGGGACCGGGGAGGCGTCCGCCGCTGGTTTCGGTGGCAGTGTAAACAGCGCATCTCTTCCTGCGTGTCCTGTGAAGTTTGCAGCCCCGTCCTTCCCCGGCAGAGCCCGGTGTGGGCTCCGGGGAGGTGTGTGTGGAGGGGCTGCAGGGCTGAACTGCTCTGCTCCCCGCTTGTTTTTACTTCGGGGGCCGTTTTTTTGCTTAAAAATGTCTCCTGTAACTCCTAGGGCTGCCCCGAGACAGCTGCTGACAGCAGGCAGTGTTACGGTGCTCACCGGGTGCTGGAGGGTGCTGCATGCGTTAGAGCTGCCTGCTGCATGCACAGTCTGCTAAAAGTGTAAAAACACTTATTAATCCCAGGGAAGTTAAAACAGTCAAAGTCCTGCCTTGCTTTAATGACGATTCCGTTCATTATTGTGCAGTTTAAGTGCTTGGCTTTGCAGCGTAGAAGAAAGTCTGCTCTCCCCCATCCTTCTCCCTGGCGCTTCTGTGTGAGAAGCAGCCATGTGCTGTTTCTGGGGTGTATCTTTGAGAGGTTTCAGGAATTCAGCATGAGCTGTCATGCTGCAACTGTAAGCCAAGCAGAGAAAGTCTTTCAAGCCCCTGTAACATAAACATGCTTCTCAGGCTTTCCTTGTGCGCTGTCTTCCGCGTGGCCCGTGGTGTATGTGCATGTTTTGCTTTTAAAGAGTTGTTTCCTTCTGAAGGTTACCTTTAGGAATGCAACATTTCCCTTCAAACACAGACAGGCACCCTTTGGGGGGACATTTGTGGAGTACGTGCTGGGGGTAGTGAAGCCTGGAAGACTTTATCAAGCATCCCCAAGATACCAAGCTGCTTTTAAAAGTCCTATGCAAATACTGGGCAGGGGCTTTCTAGTTATTATTTGCTATGGAGGTTGGTTTTGGGGGAGGAAAAAAATCTGTCACTTTATTGTCTGTTAAAAGCAGAAGAACTCCTTTTGTGGACTCTTAGAAATGTGAGTGCTGCCTGCTACAGACCAACAGTCAAGGATCTGCAAGTTCCTATATATTCGGATATCTCAGTCCTTTGGGATTTACAGTGTTGCTGGTGTCTTCCTACTTTAACAGATGTCGAAGAATTTATGCTGTAGAAGTTCTCTGGATTAAGAATTGATTGAGAATATGTGAAATGAAGTAACAGAGCATCTCAGAGGAAAGTGTTTCCTAAGCATTTGTACTTCCTAACACCTGTCATCATTTACTGGTACTCTGTATCAAGCAAAATTCTTGTGGATGCAGCATCCCCAACGGTAAGGTCAAAGTCCAAGCCTGCAGTGGTGGAAGGCTGGAAGGTGGTGAGCTTAACTACTGGTACCTGGCGTGCTATGGCCTCTGTTTCTGTTTGGCTGTTCTGGCACACCTTAAACCTAGACTGCAAATATCCTGAGTGAGAACTGTGTTTGCAGAACAGCCGGTATCATGGGGTCACGGCTGGTTAGGGAAGGGGGGAGCTACTTTAGTACACACAGTACATCACTAAAACTTATCATTTGGGAATGTAAGAGGGCAGCTGAATTCCACAGATGTTTATTTAAAATGATCTATGTCTTAACATCTTATACGTAACGTAGAATAAATTATATCATTCTATCCATCAATTCTTAAGAACTAGGTAATTCTGAAGGAAGTTCTGGCAAACTCTTGGGCTGTAAAAAATAGTTGCTATTTTATGTGGTCTTTGAGCCTGCTGTATCTTTTTACCCCTTCCCTTTTTCTTGGAAGTTGATTCTAATTTTCTACAACCCCAACCATAGTGACTTTGTTGAGATTTCTTTGTGTCTCTGAGAAATTTTAAATTAAGGAATGCAAAGGTTTTGGGTCATATCTCTGAACACTTAGCAGCATTTTACCACTATTCACCGTAGAGTCACCGTAAGGGAGCATTTTATAAATCCTATCTTTTGAGGCTTGCTTTTCATTTACAGGAGTTCTCATCTCCGAAATGAGTGTATCGTGTTATGAGCTTGCCACTGTAATGTACGATTAAAATTTGCTTTATGCAAATAAACATGATTATACATGTATATTAGCTTACTTTTAGGTAGGAAGCACTATTATAGATAGTTTAGTTGCGGATTTTGCACACTGTAGGCCATAGTGTTTAATCCATCATTGTTTGACTTTCTCTTAAATAAGGAGAGTTTAGGTATTTTTACTAGTATCATCCGTAACAAATGTAATTTGCATAATGTTTGCTGTTCTGGTGCACACTTTTCAAATGGGCTTAACAGAAAGGTGTCCTGTTGCGTGTGGCAAAAGGACATTGTTTTCTGTACAGCTTCAGCTGCTTATTTTGCATTTGCTACCGGCATCATCAATTTCTGTCAGCAATTATCAACTGTGAGATTGTTTAATTTCATCCAATTGCTGAAAAAATGGTGTAGTTTCTATAGCCTAAAGGTACCTTTTAAGTGAAATATGGAACTTTAAGCACACTGAAGAAGGACTAAGAACAATTAAAACTTTTACCTTTTTTT